GTGAAGCTGACGGAGAACTGGAGTCATGTGAGCATAACGTCCAGTTCCTGTCAGCAGCCTGGCAGCTCTATTTTGAACCAATTGAAGTATCAGGACCATCTTCAAGGGCAGCCCCACATAGAGCGCGTTACAGAAGTCAAGTCAGGAAGTCACCAACGCATGTGTCACTGTCGCCAGTTATATAATTATGACCAGATTATATGAAGGACAGTCAAGACATTCTTATTTTGCAAATGTTTGCAGATTGTTTTAGCTGTTGCTGTAAAAATAGTGTCTTCTCATTTCTTGTGTATTTTTTCTTTTCATTTAGTGAATTTTATTCAATGTGTTTTATATTGTAAGGTGTCTTGGGAACTCTTGCAGCCAAAAAGTGGGGACATATTCCATGTAAATTAATACATTTGAATCTCTGTGGCAGCAGGCAAAATTCAGGGGAAAACAATTGTAAGTCACCCAGAGAACCCTTGGGTTATGGGGCGACCTAGAAGTGGAAATAATAAGTAAAGCAGGGGCTTGCATCAGGTGGGAAGAAATCCTTTTTTGCCCCTGTCATAGTGCAGTAATTATTCCACTTCAGTACAGCATAAGCATCCAAGAAAAGATTTAAAGTATTTCAAGATCAGAAGTGGGAGCCCTGATCCATTAATAGCTCATTTCTGGACCCTTGATCTTGAGGAACTTAGAATCGAGCCCACACCCTTCAGTGTGACTATGGCAGGGAGAAAAAAGAGTAAGTTAAGTATTCTTGACTGTTACCTGTTTCCTAGATCTGGAGAATTAACACCTCTTCAAGTGGCTAAGAATATTATTGCTGCATTGCAAGATGATGAGAAGTCAAGTCTCTCCATCCGAGCAATTGTTCAGTGGAACCAGCAGGAGATAATCAAGGTGTGTTAGGTTTCTGTTGACTAGAAAAGGGCTTCCTCCAAATGATACCTATTTCGGAATGGGGGATACCCCCTGCAATTCAAATCCAAGTTGACATCATGTCTGGGCCCCTTTTGCCTGTCTGCCTGTTCAAACATTTTCTATTTCTGTTCCTGCTCAGCAGTTAATGAATGTTACACATCTGATCTTCAAAATCTCTCCCTGCTCAGATGGCTGAGGACTCCACAGCTCGCTATAAAAGGAAGCAGCCCCTCTCTCTTTTAGATGGAATTCCAGTGTGCTTGAAGGAGGAGATTAAAGTGGTAGGCAAATTAATTTTACTTGCCATTACTGAAAGAAATTGTTAAGAAGGGAGGCACTGTTCTGTTTGAATTGTTTTTGACTTGAGACAACAATTTTGAACCACTGTAAGGGAAAGAAGGGCACCGCTGGTCTGTGTTCATCAGGAATCCTAGCATAATATAGCTTTATCTGTGTGTGTGTCCATTATGAGGTGCCTTATCACCACCGGAGTGGAACAGAATACCTGGGCTTGGAGCCGGAGAGTGAAGATGCCACTGTGACCATTAAACTGCGGAAGGCTGGTGCCATTATCATTGGTGCCTCAAATATGCATGAGTTGGGTATTGGGACCACTGGCTGTAACCCCAACAGGTAAAGTAGTTTACGTTCATGAAATCTTCATGCTTTCATTTCACACTGTGTTCTGGGAATCCTTGGATTCTTTAGGAAGAGTCTGTAGTGGAGGATGAAAAAAATAGGTCTGGCAGCATTTTAGAGACCAGCTCATTTCATGAAAGCTTATGTTACAATACGTTTCTTACTTTTTAAGGTTTCATTAGACTCTTAGCTTTTTCTAGAAAAATACAGGTAATGGAGTTACCTCTCTGGAATATGTTACTTTGGTGGACAAGTGTCATTGAATGACAGATTTTCCATTGTGACTGAGAAGAGGATGGTTTTGCTCTCTACTGTGGCAGAGTCAGTTGTGGGAATTGTGGGCTTGAAAGAAGCCTTTGAGAATATCTGCATGTGGGCAGAAGGGCAGGAAGGAGATATCTTTTGGCTCTGGCTTTGTTGAGTCGCAACAGTGATAGATTTGGCTTGGGTCCTGCTGAAGATATAATGGAGTGAGTGTGGGAGCTTTGCCCTTGGTTGTCACCTAGAAACTGGCATATCAAGGTGTTTCTCCAGCAATGGTTGTTTCTAGTTCTGTGGTGGATAGAACTGTGGTGTGATAGCTAGAGCCCAGTGACAAGGGCAAGCAGTGCAGCTACAGGGAAAGTTAAAGCCCCTTCACCATCATTTGGCCTTGCTGTCCTTTCAGTTCCTGCACCTCCATCTCTCTCCCTTCACCCCAAAATAGATTCATTTGCAGATCCTGTTGCAACACACTGTCTGCCAGCATAGTGTTTATTTTGGCCTTCGGGCTGCTGCCAAAAGGGTCCTCTGTTGGACACGAGGAACTATCACCAAGGCATTACATTCCTTCCTTCTTCATTGACTCTGACGATAACTATCTTCAACGTATTTCTCTGCCTGACTGCAGATTCCATGGTACAGCTAGAAACCCCTACAATCCCCATCATTTCACTGGTGGCAGTTCCAGTGGGTCCGCAGCTGCTGTGGCTGCAGGTGAGGGTGTACAATGGATGGGGTGAGTATTGCAGATGGAAATTTGGAGAGATGAGTGGAAGAAGTGGGCAGAAGGACAAGAGGGTCCAGAGGTTCATGGTAAGGTCAGCAGCTGGGGGAAAATGTCAGACCAGACAGTTTTCCTCAGTGGAAGGCTCTCATTACTCTAGGCCTTTGCCCTCTGGCTCTTGGTACAGATGGAGGTGGCTCTGTCAGGATCCCTGCTTCTTTCTGCGGCATTGTGGGACTGAAAGGTAACATCTGTTTATTTGATTGTGGATCCTGCATTTTCCTAGATGTGGGGTGGGGAGAAGGAAGGTAGGAATGGAGCAATATAGAAATCTCAACAGTACTGTGCACTGAGAGTCATCTTCCAAGAAATGGAATGGGAGCTCCTACTTACCATGGACCAGTTAATTGCAGTGAATAATCTTCCTAGAAATGTAGAGTTCATTTCCCACCCTCTCTTTCTTCACCAGAAGAATACATCATTTGTAGAGCTCCATGGCTGAGTGGGGATCCTTGGACTGCTCAGGTCCGGACACTGCCCTGAGTCCAGTGTACTAAACTAGACAGATTTGAGGATTTTTTTTTGGAGTTTCTTGGTGGGAAAACTTGGGACACAGAGCTGCTCTTCCTCCTGTAGGAAGCCTAACCTGATCTGCCACTCTTGGTTAACTGGTCTCTGGCATTCCATTTTGGTCATTTATGGCTTTGCACATTTAACCAATTTGCTGTGTCTTATTCAAAGGAACATTTGGACGAATCAGTGCGTTTGGCTGTCATCCTCTCTCGTATTCTACTGTAAGCCTCGGTAAGAGATGTCTCTGGCCTTGTATTTCGAGCTGCAGGAAATCATGTGCATGATATCCATGACAGCCAAGAAATCATATATCCATTATATTCTGGAAGGACAGGATGCATTTAATGCCACTGCCTTTCTTTACAGCAGGAGCGGGCACCCTCTTGGTGGCATTAACTTACGACCCCTGTCATCTGTGCCCATTGGCTGGCCTGACTGTGTGTGCTGGGAGTTGGCTGCATTGACATCTAGCGGGGTGGGCATAGTCCCTCCCTGCTTTATAGAAATGAGGCAACAAAATGTATCTAAGTGAAGGGCTCAGAGTTCACATACCGTGTATATTGGGCAAGGGATGGTGAGTTGGGAAAGATGGGGAAAAGGGAGCATGATGAGGGCCACAAGTGGTCACTAAGCATGTTATCCTTCAGCTCTGGATACACTTGCAGGCCCTCCTGATTTTCAGATGGATGCTTGACTTACACATGAATGGAATGGGATGGCAGAATAAAAGGCACTGCTGGTATACGCTACTGTTTTGATTCTTGCCAGACGTACTTCCCTGAAGATAGAAAACTAGTGCATTGGGGGGACGAGAAAAATGTTTGTCTCCCTTTTTTAAACTTCCTGTGTTACTTCTTATCTTTTTTCATGTCTATACCACCCAATAGCAGAAGCTCTCTGGAGAGTTTACAACAGCAATCTCTCCCCGCCGAAATGTGCGATCTGAAATGGTGTAGCTCATTCTGCCTCCCTAAAACTTCACTATCCCATTTGGTTTAATTCTGCAATCTAAAGGAGCTTTCACAAATGGGCGTCCTTCAGATGTGTTGGAGTACAACTCCCATCATTCCCAGCCATAGGCCATGCCAGTTGGGCCTGATAGGAGTGATAGTCCCAATTGATGGCCACCAGGGTGGGGAAAGCAGGTTTTAAAAGCTTCTTAAAAACAAAAGTAGAGATCTTGGAAACCAGAGGGCCACCAGTAAGGGCCAGATAAGAGGGGAATTGTGCCAGGTACCCACAAGAGACAAGGATTTCTCAGTTGTGCTGCCTCATTTGCAGAATATATTCCCCAAGGAGACCTACCTGGCACCTTGCGACATTGTTATATTTTCTTCCATGCATTTGAGAGACTTCATTTTTAGATTTTACAGTTGTTTAGACATCTTTACATTTAGTTATTTCTGTCATTTTGTTTTGACATTGTGTTCTTTTAACAATTTGTAATCTGCCCAGACAGATGACAAATATTTAATTTAATTTCTTTAATTGAAGAAATTAACTGTATAACAATGCACTCATGATGCACTCATTTTCCATTTTGCACCTTGGCCAGGCCCTCTCTGTGTTTCAGTGGCAGATGCTGCAATTGCTTATGCCATCTTGGCTGGGCCAGATCCCTTGTATCCATATGGTAAGTCTTGCTCCCAGCCCTGGATAGCACACTACGCGCCCCCCCCCCCCCACTTTTGGTGAAATTTAATATCTGTTCTTGTTTCTTTTAACATTTACAGGATTATGTCAGCCCAAGCCATCGCTCTCTGAAGTCATCACTTCCGATCTGAAGGGCTTGAAGTTAGGGATTGACTGGAATTTATTTAAGGTCTCTGTTTGCCTCCCTATATCTGCTGTGCTGTTTAGTCAAACCTGACCCATCAGGGAATCTGCTGGAACTGGGTATTGCGCACTGGGCTTTGGGTTCTTTCTTTAGATTTCAGATACCCTTTGAAAGAAAGGTCGTGTCAGAACTCTGCTTTGTAAAAACACTGTGGGTCCCCCAGAGGGAAGGAGGGAGGGAGAAAATGCTTGAGAATGGTCCCGTAAAGGTTCTTCTGGTTTTGCTTGTCTGACAGGCTTGTGATGCTGAAATCCTAGATGCCTGCCAAAAAGGTAAAGTGTCATCTTTCATCTCGCTGCCTTTAAAATGCTTATTTGGGTTAGAGAACACAATTGTCCCAAAATCTCTTAATAATTTTGTCAAGTTGAGGGAAAGGATTTTAGCAGATCCAGTATCATGGGATAGACACCACTTCCCGGTAATCCACTGTGATCATCCCGGTGAATGATGGAGTAGTAGTGCTAAATTTGGAAATGCTTGGCAATAGCATTTAGTGTGTCCAGAGAGCTTTTAAGTGTTCTAAGCACATGACATGCATCACAGGCCTCCTGTAGGGAAGATGTCCGTACTAAAGATGGAGGGTGGGAGAAACTGGGCGAGTGGTGGGCTGAAGTCAGCCATTGAGTTCAGGGAGGAAAAGTGAAGGCCTCTCCTGGTTCTTTATAGTGTGTGCATGAAATGTTGCTATAGTGGACTTCGGATTTTTGTGTGAACTTGCCTCTTTGGTGCTGTCTGCTTGATCAGA